CCATAAGTGGGTCGGACATCGTAAGTTGTTGCTATAGTTTCCAGTTGTGTTTATCAGTTTTACACCAATTGCAACATTCTCCAACTTCAAATTAAAAAAAAATTATGGGGAAGAGAATTTAAACTAATCCTAACCACAAATAGGTTCAGAATATAATTAGCGTAGAGCAGAATTAACTTGTTTCTTTGATCTGGAAAATGGTTCAATGTTTGTTTTGTGCGTTGGGGTTATGGCCACAAAGCTTCATTTCTTTTGACAAATAAGCCAAGTTCAAACTTCAAACATAAATACCTTAAGTCTAAATGTGTTTTATAATAAAGAGAAAACTATTTCAAAGTAAGGCTATATTAGAATCAAATATAAGGCCTTTCAGATCACAGGATTTTTTTATTTTCTATGTTAGACTCATGAGAAAGAAAAACCAAGGGGAAGTGTTAGGAGATTAGAACTCTCAAACTGATAGCATCATCTTTTTGATCAAAAGTAGCTAGAAATTACTCTAGAGCCAGCCTCATGGCCTAGTGGAAAAGGGAGACAGAAACCACATGGCCGACTATACAGTTTGAATCTGAACTCCAGTGGCTCAAAAAACATGCTGGTTGTACTTGTGTGGGTGCCTAAAATCCCAACAGGCTAGAGAAATGGGAGAAGGGATAGTGGCATGATCACACCCTATTGGGAGTGCTTTCTCCTTCTCCCTCTCCTTCTGTCTCTCTCTGGTAAGCACATATGCCCTTGGGCAAATTAAAAAAAAATTTAAATTTTACTTAGACTATTATATGAAGTAAAACTATTATACTTTTCTATAAGAGAAATCTCATTGCCTTCTAATCAGTTATTATGAGTACTGAAAAAAAATACAAATCAATCTTTCTTTCACTTTTTTCTTTCTATATCTCATTTGAGTAGTCTATTATTTACATAAACTGTTACTAGTTGACAATAACTTATTTACATAAGTCATGTCAGCAGTTTCTATGTTCAAAGAATCATATTTGGCCTCTGAGCTCAAACCTGCTAGGTGGGCTTTGAAGATAACTATTATTTTAGTTGCTTATCAGTGGGGAATAATAGCTTTTCTTAAACACTGATCATTTGGTGACTCAGTTATTTACTGTCAATTATGTGCAATTTATGATTGAATCTATTTCAAATGCAAGGGCTTAATAGCCTCTGGCTTAAAGAATGCATTGCTGTTATTTCCTCAACTAATTCTCTAAGGAATCTATGTCTGGCTCAACCAGATGTGTCAAAGACTTAAGTAGACCTTAAGGGATTATAACTCTTTATAGACTCTTTATATACCGGAAGGCTCAAATAACCCAACTTCTTTTAACTTTTTCACACTTCTCCACCCCCTCCTCCTTCTTTGAATGTTATGACTCTCATATCATTTTTTTTCCAAATTCTCCACATTTCCTCTTTAAATTTTAGATGAGACATGGAACTCTATAAAGGACGAGGTAAGTTTTTAGTATAATCAGAACATTCTCTTGCAGCACTTCAATTCACACTTTTTATTTTTAAGAGAGATTTTTACTATAGGGCACATGTGCTCACCAGAGAGACAGAGAGACAGAAAGTGAGAAATCACCCTCTGGGGGGATGGCCACTCCACAATACCTTCTCTTCTATTCTCCTCTTGGGATTTTGGGCATGCACACACATGCGCCCAGTGTGAGTTTTAACTTGCCAGGTCTGGGACTCAAACCATGGTCCACTGCATGGAAATCCAGCGATGTAACCATTACATCTGCTGGTCCCTCAATTCACACACTTATAATGCAACCTCATATTGTACTTACACTTAAAATTATATTTCATCATTATTGGATTTTAAAATCTGAACTCAACCTCCTTTTATTGTTGAAATTATATTTAAGGAGTTGTTTTAACTATCCCATTGAATTTGGCTGCACTTATTTTACTTGAACTGTTTTTGTCCTGGGTGATTTCTTCAAATTTGGTAAGGCAAAGGACACTGAAAGTGGAAGTTGCATATCCTGGGGGTACTTAAGACATCCTTCTACAGTTCAGTAAGAAAATACTGCTATGTTTTTTTGCTTTGAAAAGTAAGAAATGTAGCTTCATTGTTTAACATCATGTTAACCCTGGCATACTCAAACAGTCCTCTGTCAGTCATATCATAGATGTGCTCTGTGAGGGGATCTGAAAAGAATGGCCTTTCCACAACGTGAAGAGGTTGATGGGATACCTTGATTTACCATGATCATTCTATTGTAGTTTTGTGTGGTATGGGAAGTCGATGTGGTTAATTTTGTAAAAACAGATTCTTTCAATAGAATCTATATAATGCCTTATACTGTGTTGGGGAGTGATTATGAAAATTCTTTGTCTTCTAAGAAAGTAGGTAAGATACTATGGTTTAAAGCATAGATCCTGGATATACTACCTGAGTCTGGTTATAGTTCTGCCACCATCAGCCGTAGAGTGCTGGGCAAGTTACTTATTAATAACATCTCTGAGGTTTAGTTTCCTCCTCTGTAAAATGAAGGTAATAATATTACCTACTAAGCTGAGTTGGTTATTTAGAGAATTAAGTAAAAAATATACATAGTTGTAGTCATGAAAATATGTTATAAAATATATTTATAAATATATGTTATATAAAAATATATAATATATATTCATTAATATATATTATATAGAATGTGTTTTATAAAATATACATTTAATATAATACATAGTATATAAATTTATAAATATGTTAATACAAATGTATAAGTATAGTACCTGCCACCAAAATAAACTCTACAGAAGCTCAAAATAAACTCTACATTCGCTCAAGTTGTTATTACTTAAAAGAGTAGTTGACTATCAAGATTAATTAGGCATTTTCATCTGAGAAAAACAGAAGTAATACAAATTTCCTCATCTTTTCTGTTATACTGCCTGTGGGTACTATTGCCACATAGTAGATATTAAACACACAGACACACACGTGCACACACACACACTCTCTTTCCTTTTGAGATAAAGTTTTTGCAATGAGCAAGAGAATAACTTACTTCACTCTACCCCCTTTATGTGTTTTGAAAAAAAATACTTAGGAGTTAGCATTTTGGAAATTTTTAGAAATATTTCTATCAGCATATGATTTGGTTCCGGAAAATTCTGTATGTGTGTGTGCATGCTTTTAGGTGTCTGTTCTATTAAAATTCTATACACTAAAATTTCAGAAATGTAATTTTTTACTTTAAAGATTTTTATCTTTTTTCAGAGAGTTATTTTTAAAAAGAATTATTTATAGTAAAGGGGGAGGACCAGCAGCTACTGTAATGGCTATGTCACTGGACTCCCACGTAGTTGACTGTGGTTCAAGTCCCGGACCCAGTGGCTTAAACTTGCACCTGGCGCGTGTGCATGCATGTCCAAGATCCTGAGAGGAGAGTGGAGGAGAAGGGATTGCGGCATGGCCATCCCCCCAGGGGGTGATTTCTCGCTTTCTGTCTCTCTGTCTCTCTCTGTCTTTCTGGCAAGTGTACGCGCCCTATAGAAAAAACCTCTCCAAAAATAAATAAATAAATAAATACTTATTTATTTACTTAATTCCACTTTTTGTTATTATTATTATTTTTTAATTTGACCAGAAAGAGAGAGAAAGAGAAAGTGAGAAAGCAAGCCGTAGGTCTGGAACTCAAACTGCGTTGGTCAGCCATGTGGGAATCCAGCACCTTTATCCACCATGCCATCTGCCTTAGATAGATTTTTGCTATAAAGGCATGTGTGCTCACCGGAGAGACAGAGAGAAACAGAGAGACAATGAGAAATCATCTCCTTAGGGGATGGCCATGCTACAATCCCCTCTCCTCCATTCTCCTCTTGGGATTTTGGGCATATATGCACACACACTTGGCGTGAGTTATGAGCTGCCAGGTCCAGGACTTGAACCGCAGTTGACTCTGTAGGAGTCCAGCAACGTAACCATTACACCATCTGCTGGTCCCAATATTTTTTTAAATAATGAACTTCAGTAGACCTTAAACTTATCTGATAAAAAGGTAAAATGTCATACCTTTAAATTAGTTTGCAAGAATACTGACAGCAGGGGGGGAAATGGACATTTATTAGTCAAACCTCAACAAAAACATTTACAGAACTGGTTGATGAAATTGAAAAAAAGAAAATGATCAACATGTTACTGCTGCACCACAGAGCTGGCCCTGTGCTGAAATATTTTTAAGGATGGAATGCATATTCAAAAAACATGTTTATTACCTTTCACATCCCTATTGCTTGGTCTGGTGTCATCTAAGAGTGCAATGCCTTTTGTTCATTCAATGATTATTTGTTGAGTACCTACTATGTACCAGGTACTATGGTAGACTCAGAGAGGTAGAAATTAAAAACAATATCATTACAGGGGCCAGTAAGTGGCATGGTGGTTATGGCTTGGACTCCCACAGGGCTGACTGTGTTTCGAGTCCCGGACTCACTAGCTTGAGGATCTCACTGGGCATGTGTCAGACTCTCATTGTGCATGTGTGACCAAAATTCCTTGACTTCACATTCATGTCTAAATTGCCAATGATCCATTGTCGATTGGGGATTTGAATTTGTAACTGGCCATTTGAGCCCCCATTTCCTTTTATGTAGTTTAAATGAGCCACTTATTACTTATTTTCTCTTCCAGTTATCTGCAAGTTGCTTTTATGACAGTGATGTCATAATTTACATAAACTACTGATTCAACAAATAAATCCTCTGCAAAGCGCTGTGATAAGACAGAGAGATACAAAGATGCCGTGAACTTTAAAGGGGATTTTTGTACCTTTGAAATATTATAACATGAAAAATGTGAAAAGCACCGTATTTTTATCCTCATGCCTTGTGGGTTACTTCCACTGCTGAATGTGTTCCACAGTACACTGTAGTTCTCACTGTTGTACCTCTCCTCCCCTGGGGCTGTGTTTCTCTGAGCCTGGCAACACACTGTTTGAAAGTTTTAAAGGTATTTTATTTGGCTACAATAATCTCTTTCAGATTTTATCACCTTACTTGTGATTTCAACCTATGACTAGGATAAATTATGTTCCACTGCTACTTACTTGCCCTGAAGAATAATCTGAAAAACAGGAGAAACTAAGATCATAGAAATTAAAATTCTCTAAATGCCTAAAATGGAAACCTCTACCTCCCTCTAAATAGCAATGAAAAGTGGTGATTTGAGGTATTCAAGGCAAGAAATGACCACATGACTTCCTGGGGTTTTGTTTACTTTTAAAGTCTTCAAATAAGCAAAGTCAAAGCCCACAGCCTCTGGAGAAACTTAGACACGTTTGACTCTAAAAGCAAGCAGTACTGACAGTTCAGAAACTTTGGGCATGGAGTGAATAGTGAAAACGGCTTACCAAAAGTCTGCGATAATATAAAATTCAATTCAGAAAAATATAAGCAGCTCATTAAGGCGATTTTATTACTCAGAGAGACAATATTTTTACTTGAATTTTAACTGATACATATTCCTTGAGCTATCCTTCCCACAGGGAAAGAAACCCACAATTTTCATTATAATATTTTTTTTCTTGAAATTTGGGCCTAATCAGGGTACTGTGTGCTGGCTGACACTCTACTTGGCAGGCTAAAATCACATGAGAGGCTTGGTTTAATTCCTAGTTCATCTTAAAAACCAGCATGGTGATGTATACCTGTAGTCCCAACTACTCAGGAAGCTGAGGCAGGAGAATCACAACACAGCAAGATCCTGTCTAAAAGAAAAGAAAAAAAGGGGAAAGAAAGAGAGAGAGAAAAATAAAAATAAAGAAAGAAAACACAATTTGAACAAACTTCAGTATAGCATAATGATTAAGGACGTGGCTTTAAAGTAAGATGGCCCTGGATTTGAACCTCTGCTGTTTACTAGCCCTGGACACAGACACATTTCCTAATTTCCTTAGCCTTAGTTTTCTTATTTATAAAATTATTGATAGCTCTTATTTCACTAGATTGTGGTGAGAATTGAGATAACTACATAGTAAAACCACAATAAATGCCAAAATTTAAAATTACATATATTAAATAAAGAAAAATATCCAAAACATATACTCACTATGAGAGGCAAATTGATAGCTCCCAAAGATGTCCATGTTCTAGTCCCCAGAATCTGAAATGTGTTATATTACAAAGAATTAAGGCTGCAGATGGAATTAAGGTTGCCAACCAGAGGACCTCAAGATAGAAGGAATATCTTTGGTGGGTCCAATGTAATCACAAGAGTGCTTAGAAGTAGGAACTAGCAGTTAGCATAATGGCTATGTCACTGGACTCCCATGTAGTCGACCGCGGTTCACATCCCGGACCCAGTAGCTTAAGACTCACACTGGGTGCATGTGCATTCATGCGTGCTTAAGATCCCGAGAGGAGAATGGAGGAGAAGGGATTGTGGCGTGGCCAT